CCCTCGATCCCGCAACCCCCCATCATCCCTATCCCAATGCACACCCATTCATAACCCAACCACTACCCCCCCGCCTTCCAGAGGACCTGGAGGATGTCCCACCCTCTGATGACGCCCCACGTGGCATGGGGCAGAAAAGCGCTTTAGGGAGCTGCCACGCCCTTCCCGCRATTCGRCGAGATGATCCWCRCAGCTGCAGGAATGTGTCGATCTGGAGGMAAGAGCTGAAGCGGGATCATAACTTTCCCTCCCTTCCCCCCCCTCCCCTTCCTCTTCCCTCCCTTCCTTCTTTCTCCCTYCCCCCCTCTGATCTGCCCTTTTMCTTGGACCTTGTATTCGGTTGACGGTAGGGGGGTGAGGCGGGCGACGAGACTCTTGATGATTGGAATAAGGGATTGGTATTCTCTTTTTTTCAGGCACTGCGTCGTCTATAATGTTCTTTTTGCAATAATTGATTGTTCTCTCATTTTTTTCGAAGCACTGTCGTCTTTTCGTTGGATGCTGTGCTCTATTGGTCGACGTGTTCTTTTTTGCATTATAATTGTTGTGTATCCTTTTGTCTGATGATCCTTCGTCGTTTTTAGGGAATGTTGTCGGGACTTAGGGAATGAATAGTGCTATCTCCAGGAATATTGATGGATGATGCGCTACATTGGTCATTTTTTCTTGCTCCTTTTTCCTGTTCTTTTCTCATTTTTTTCTTTTCGTTCTTTCCTTYTTTTCGTTGCAATCTATCAATTGAATGAATGATATTCCGGTGCACGGCTTATACGATGCCGGGGGGTTCTTGATGGAATGGTCACTCTTCCTCGTGATATATATCGGGCATATATCTTTATGGTTGGTCTTATCGTTGCCCCCTTACGGTGCGAAGCGCTCCAACCCCCCTCGCGTTTCTTCTTCACCGCTTACGCTGAATTAGGCCAAATTACACCCGATAAACGGCCTTGTTGTTACCCTCAAAACGAAATGGACATACCGAGTGGCTTTACCTCGCCGCGTTGGGACATCGCCTCACACGTCTTGCTTCTTGCTCACGGTGTGCCGACGTGTCTAGTCGGAGTAGCACGTGCGAAATGCATGTGATATGCGCATGCTAACACACTTTCGAGGACGTGTTTCCTCTATCGCTGACGGGGGGTGCCCCCCCCGTCCGCACTGTGATGCGTTTCGCGTTCCTTATACGGCCCCGCGTGAGAATGAGGTGATGATGGTGGCTATGGGGTATGCTGAGGACGTCCGATGTTGACGAGGGAATGACCGGACGATATCAAAAGGAAATATGGCTGGATATGGCGCGGCTTGTGATGATTAATGCTGTGAGATCGGGACAGTTGGTGGGAACCTGCTTTGACATTTTTCTGCTGTCCGCTTGTATGTGGTTCTCCCCTTCCTCCTCCCCCTTCCCTCCCTCCCTATCCCATCCCTATGCTGTTCCTCACCACCTCTCCCCCGACTATCCCCCCCGCCTACCTCTCAATCACTCTTCTTGTCTTGAATCTCCTTCGTACCCCTCTCTTCTCTCTCCCCCCTTCTCTCGGTCCTGCTGAAAACGCAACCGCAAAGACCTCCCAAGGAATCCTTCCCTGGCGGGTGGTGGAACGAGCTCACGCATCGTTTTCCCTGGCTCAAGGATTGTGCTTGGCCGGCAAAATCCACGCAGGCCTTGATGACCTGCGTCAACCCTGGGGTAATGGATGCGATTAGGGAAGCATGGGACACCGGACGTTTTCCCCATTTCTTCGAAATGCTTTGTTTTAGCGATCTCGCCGTCCTCGCGGGTGCCTGGGAGCGTAGTAGACAGGAATTCGACGACGAACTGAGGACTCTGTGCGAACGACTTGAGCTGAGGAAACAGGAATACACTCAGGAATGCAGAGAATTAGCGGGTAGATCGGCGAGGCTAGAGCGAATCTTTCTACGGATTTGGGGTGTCGATGACTCGCACCTGGAAGGGTGGATACCCGAAACACGGGAGCGAGCTTCACCCAACACAGGGGACGCTCGGGTTACGAGATGCGATGATTTAGCAATCGAAACTGAGGAGAGGGAGGAGATGGAGCGGGCGATTGCCGCCATCGCCAACACCATCAGGGACTCCCCCCTCACGAGCAACCGGGCAGAAGACGCCGCCTCGGAACGGGATAGATACACTGCTTTTGCCCCCCTTGCATCGGCATATTGGATAGAGCACACCTCCACGGGATTCCGACACGCGATCTGGAAAATGGAGACCTTTAACCACGTCGCTCCAATTTCCATTAGGGCGCTTCAGTTTTTGGGCAACATCACGGATGCACAGGTCAGGGAGTGCGGGACTCAGGTGCTGAGAGGTAAGTTGAAGTTCTCTGGCAGGGTCCCCCCACTGGATCCCTAGGACCTGAAGTTTCCCCCCATGCGTGCCTTCGATCTAGACAAGTGCGGCGAGACGAGCTCCGGGATGTGGCATAAGGCGATTAGGCAGCAGGACAGATTAGATATGAGGAATGTGAAGAAGATTTGGAGCGTGGGTCAGCCCTATCTCAAGTGCAAGTGTAAGAAGGAGAGGAACAAAGATTGCGGGGACACCCGGCTGTGGTTCGACCACGCCCTATGGTTCCTACTCGCACACCCGGACGTACTATTCCTGGACATGTCCTCGATAAAAATCAGGACGTCAATGCTGATTCATTACCTCAAGACTACGTGGAGGGAGGGACTGCTTGCCGCCATTGCCTTCCACTTTATCAGACATCTAATGATGGGCTATATCAGGGAACTAGAGGATGACGCGACACTTGATACGGAAGGGCTGCTGAAGGACGACCGACTCTGGAATTACCCGATCCCCGCCATGCTGGCGCGAATCATGCTCCCCACGCGCATTCCCGAGAAACCAACGAGGTTTCCGCTCAGCTCCCCACGGGTGATGGCACGGAAGAGAAACGCAGGTGGACACATTCCGGGCCAGACCACACAACTTTCGCAGGGTGACGCCCATACCCGGAGGCTCCCCCCCACCTCCCCCTCCTCCCCCGTCTTCCTCCTCCACTCCCCC